CTTTTAGGGTTCATCTGTGTTTTTATAATTCTTATATTTAAGCCATTGAATGTGGTTCATTGGCTGCCAGTGACCAGAAATAGACCTCTCCTTGCAGAGGTTATTGAAACCAGCGGAGATCTCTGTACATGAGTGCTTGAAGTTTGTGTTGAACTCGTATAGCACACTTCAGATGGATCTCATTTGTAGAGGAAGTGACTCAATATTATATATTTACCCCAAAATAAAAAACACAACCAGATATAGAGTTTTCAGATAGCATTATTGTTGCCAAAAAACATAGCAGCCTGCACTAAAAGATATATTCATATTTACCTCTACCTCTCCATATTTACCCCTGGTAAGTCCTATCATTGCTCTGTTGAAAATCTGTGGCAACCAAAGAATCTTCAGCATCCAGCACACTTCCGAGTGTATCCGATGCCTGGTCCAACGTTGTGCACTGTAGTTCTATCCGCCAGTCCATATGCCAGGTAAGGGCCCAGCAGATGAAACCCCAAAGCAGTAGTGCTGGTCTAGCAATAAAAAATATATTATTTCTAATTTTTCTCCATTACTGCACCAGTTGGTAGGATATAGGGACAATATACTGCTCTGGGACTGACTGAATTTGAGTAGCCAGCATGGTTTTGTCAGCCAGCCAACTGAAAAAAACCCTCATTCACGGATCCCAGCCTTCTTGCAAAATATAGTCTTCCATATGCTCAATATGAGAATATTAAAAGCTAAAACATGAATCTCCAAACACAGATTGATTCATGAGATATACCATTACCTGAATAGTACAATGGCTTTGAAAGTATAACAGTTTACCTTTCACACCTAAGTTTCTCTAGCTACTGAAAGAGAACTAATAGGAATACATAAATACAATTATTAGGGGAATTCATAACCATTTAGAGAAGCACACTATGTGTCCTACCCGGAAGTGTGTACAACATGATCTGTTCATGTTCGCTTAGGATTAGAGGTAGGGAAAGGCTCGTCTTAACAAAGATCAACGGAACTGAGTAAGACAGGTTGTGCATTTTGTGGTTATTGAAATATCGTGTTGGTAAAAGCAAATTGCTCATTGATGATCTCATAGAGGTAAGAATTCTTGGCAGCGTTATAAATGGTATGAAGGCTGCAGTTCATAAAATGGTTTTATAAATTGAGGCCCATTCCCTGTAAAGTGTAAGTGAATAAATAATTTATCATTCATTTAACGTCTTCATTGCTGGTCAGACAGCATTAATTATTATGCTGGACACTGGCTGCCACCAAAGAAGATGGATTTGAGATACATTTCTGTAACAGTCCTGTGAGCTCTTATAAAGTATTATGCAAACAAGGAACAGCCATACTTGCTTTTTGTTACTCAATGTAACATTGTTTTAATATGCTGTTTATGTATAGGTAAGAGGTTAATGTTAAATAATGGGGTGTGAAATACGTGTTTTGTTTTTCTCCAAGCACATATCAACTGAATTAGTAGGTGTGGATGGGCAAAAAGCGGAATAAAATGACCAGCTTCCCTCCAGCTCCTCTAGCTTGTTCATAGGTCTTTTGCATATGTTTGTGAGTGTTCATACTATTCAGAGCAGAATGTTATTTTTGCTTCTTTATAGGATTATCTTCATATGATACTATCCTTAAGTATTTTAATAAAAGCAGATATTTGTTCCCCATCCTGCTTCTCCCTCAGTGGCGAACACTCATTCACCCTCCTCCTGTTTTATCAGCTCTCACCTCCTACCCCTACTCCCATTGGCTTTAAGCTTGGTATACATGGTTAGAATTATATAAAAAAAATTGTCATTTTGGGAATGTTTGTTTAATTTTATAGTAGTTAATGGGTTCAAATCAAGGATCACTTTGACCATAGTGATGAAAAAAAATGGACCAGGATGACAATTTTGAATGAACAAAAATCAAACAGAATGTAGTTTTTGATCGGAAAACTCCATTTATGTTAAAATCAAACGAAATTTTGAACGACATTCGTCAAGTCTCTGATACAATGATATTGTACAATTTTATGTTCCAATGAGATTTTTCATGGGGGTATTCAAACATTCCTATGAAAACGAATACACAGCTTTACTTCCCTATCCACTCTCTGGAACAAAGCCCTTCTTGCTTTCCTTCTTCACTAGGTGAAATACTTTCCCACTGTTTCATGCTTCCTATCCAAGCTACAGCAACTTAAATGAGAACTATGGGGTCAGGGCTTTTCCCCATAATTCTCTGAAGGGTCATGGGAGGACACAAACTAGCGTTCTTCCGTGACCCAAAGCTCAGTATAGCGTGAGCTACGGATCCCGGCATTGCTGTCGAAATCCACCAAGCTGCGGGATTGACAGCTGGCTCTGCCTACCCAGAGGCACAGCCAGCTGTGCCCGCCCCCTCCCCCGTCCGTTCTGCCAGTCAGCGCTGGAGGATCGGGGAGGGGGGAAATCCCTGCAGGGAGCCGTGAGTGAAAGTCACGGCTTTCTGCTGGAGTAGATCGAGAGGTGAGCGAGCGACGCTATGTGTTCGCTCACTTCCCGATCTACTGAGCCGACCTGTGACATTTTCATTGTCACAGGTCGGCTCAGATTATGAGGCTGAGTGAAAATCACTCGCCTCAATTCTCCTTTTAAGCTCAAGACTTCAGAATGTTACAGGCCAAAATTTGTCAATGCTTTTACTTTGTAAAATAAACCTGATACATACAGAACTATTGGGTGAACAAGGGGGGCAGTTTGTAATGCAAGCTGGGAAACCTACCTTTTGTCACACTGCATTGCTATTTTTTCTTTTAGAATTCCTGCTGTCCTTCAGTAACACTTGGCTCCTATGTTTCTGCTTTATTGTTCCCATTCATCTCCAATTCCTGTTACACAGCTCCACTTCTATGTAATTCAGCAGCTTACTGGCAATGCACGCTTTTCTAATTGTATTTAGTTTCCGGCTGGATAGCTCTACCATATAGCGCCAGGTGTGTATTATCCTCAATCCCTTCATAGGCAAATTATTTTCTTCCATACTGCACTCATAAATGAACATTTAAAAAACTGAACTAGAAGGACATTTTCTCAAAAAGATCTGTATGAAGTAAAATAATTTTTATAGAGAATGGCTATCCTGGCGAACAAACATGGATCTTGCATGATAACGCTAAAGTAAAGCGTCCATGGATCAACGTGATGAAGAGGTGCTACAAGAGTCCTGTCGGCTAAAAAAAAACAAGCAGCCTGAACCAACTTTCTCATCAATAAATCTGGTTAAGGAATGTGAGGATCTCCCTGAGATAACCCACTATAGACATGAGGTGCAGCAGTCTACAACAATATTGTAGTCTTTTGTGTCTTCAGTACAAGAAACAACTTTTGACGATTAGTGAAAGCCTTAAAATACTCGAAGTATCTCACTAAAACAACCTTATTACTGAGTTGGTAACTTTTGTGGTACTTGTAGTCTATGCTCAGAACGGACTACCTAAAATGCAAGGACTGTTCACAGCTGCGAGGATTTGCCGTGGAAGTATAACATTCTGGCAATTATAATCCATTCTGTGCCAGGGTACACTTACTACAAGACAAAACTAAAACATATTTTACTTTGGTTGTACTTGTGCATTCTCAGTCATTCTCAAATATTCCCAAGACCGATGAAGTGAACAAATTAAAGTTCAAGGTCCTACAAAATTTTTCCTAACAGCTGCAAGCTGTCCATCTAAAATACAGTTCACCGCTGTTAATTTTGAACAAGTTGCTAAAAGCACATTGTAGGGTTGTGAGGAGTTGTTGTTCATCCACTTACACAATATGAAAAACTGCATGGTAAGCATATATTCCAAAGTGAAGAAAAACGTATGAATGCCAGTCCATCCGAAGTTCAGATACCCACCAGCTTCTAAGTGTGTCCTGTCAAACCTGTGCAATCCTGTGGGAGAAACAAATCAGCTTATACTGCTAGCTTAACACAGTTTTACTTTATAGTCACTTCATGCTGGTTTTAGAGCTGGCAATGTTCTTATTTTACACTGCAAAGACATTTGGAAGAAGGGGCCTCTTTTTTTTGCCTTTAGAGTATAACTGTGCTTTTACTATACATTCTACCCTTTCCATTATGATGATCACAATGCCTTAAAGCACAACGGTACCTTTTTATAAAAATGACTGTGTCCTGCCATTCTAAACTAATCTGCACTTAAGTCTTTCACCCTAGCTTTTCCCCTACATCAGTAGCATAGCCACAGCCTGCTCTCCAGCTGAAATCCTCTTTAACATTGGCCATAACTGTGCAGTGAGACCTCAGAGTTTTACAGGGCCATCTTCAGAGGATTTATATTCTAGGAAGAAAACAGTAAATATCTTCAGTATAGGTAACTTCTCATATTGCATGGTATGGCGTTTTTAATGGAGGATGCAAGTACCAATGTACAATATTTTTAGCAATAGTGCAGGTATACTTTAAATACCTTGCCAGTGTAAGCATAACTCTTTGAATAATTAGGCCCAGGGCTCCTACCTCTCTAGCAAGATGTTGGAGCGGGGGTTTCGGAGCTTTCAACCACAATTTGGTTTGTCCTTCCACCCAATTTATTGGCTGATCCCTGATTCAATGTATTATTAATAAGTGGTCTGTACTCAGAGAAATGTGTCTCTTTTAATAGGCCCGAACATCAATCTATGCCTTAATTGTAATGAGGGAGATGACCAATTAATTCCACTACCAGTCCTGGTAGTGGAATTAAGCATGTTCTGGGTATGTTGATGTGGTTCACTATCATTGCATTCATTTGTGTAAGTGCCTCTGTAGGGCTCTATACAATGTACTTCCCTCTAAAATGTTGTCTTGCCCTTCCTATATTTCTGAGACCTTCCTCCAACTGCAACTGCTCTGGTTTCTTGCTAATAGTTGATACAATCTATATTTCCTGTAGCTCAACCTGGTTTGTTTGCTGTTATTCATGTTAAAACAAAATCTATATTTCCTTTTTTTTTTTAAATCTTTTTTTTCTTTCTCTTCAGAGTTTGACTGTCGTGGATACTATTTAAATAGAAGAAGTTGCTGCAGGATGAAAAGATGGCAGCTCCGCTTATGGCACCACCTGGCCCTGACAGCTTCAAGGCATTTACTCGTGAATCGCTGGCTGCCATTGAAAAACGTATAGCCGAAGAGAAGAAAAAAAAGCCAGCAAAGGCAGACAGTAGCCACAGAGACGATGATGATGAAAATGGAGCAGCACCAAACACTGACCTGGAAGCAGGCAAAAATTTGCCATTTATCTATGGCGATTTTCCTGGGAAACTTATTGCTCAGCCAATCGAAGACTTAGACCCTTTTTATTTAAACAAGAAAGTGAGTCCAAGGGAAATCAATGGGATTACAGGTTCAGATTATTGAGATGCTTACATTTGGCATCTAAAAAGGCAGTGGGAACCAAGTAGGGCTATAATGGAAGGTACAACATAGAGAGACCTTTGCTTTTCAGGAGGAGTATTGCAACTGCAGTAGATGAATGGAGTAAATAAGAATGTGGAACAATTTGTGGAAGCTGGATGGAATATTGGTATCATTTATGTGCTGGGTATTTTTTCTTATGTACCCAGTGTATCTATACAACTTTTCTGTTGAATTGGAATAATTTGAATTGGCATGAAAACATATAAAATTTATACTTGGGGATTAGGCTAGTGTTTTCACCATTTTTCATTTTTGTGAACAAGTGCAGATGAAAACAGGTGCAAAACACGTGCAGTTGGAAATGTAGTGCAAGCTCAGGTGAAAACGGGGGCACATGATAAAAGACAGATTTGCATATTTTAAAAAAATGATCTAAGAGGCTAAAACTGTTGCAATTGCTTTGATAAATTTCCCCAATGTTTCCTGATAACCATGCTAATTATTAACCTGGCCATTTGATGGTGTTTCAAGTCTCTAAATTGTATGACAGTAGCTATCCAATACTACAGGGCTGCTCTATCTTAAAGGAGAACTATGGAGTTAAGTCTTTTCCCCATAGTTCTAGACACTTTTGACATTTTGCTTCCACTTCAGTAATATACTTTCTTACAAAGTGCACCCACACATATTATATATTTGTTTTTTAGAGGACAGATGGGGCTATATATTTATATCACATGTGTACCTAGCTCCTCAATTAGAACAAACACTTTTTCCCCAGTTTTGGTTTGTAATATTTTTTAGAAAAATAGCACAGCTAAAAAAAAAAATAAAATGCATTAAATACATTCATATATTTGTCCTTTTATTTGGAAAAAAAACCTCACATCCCTAGGATTTTAGAAATTTCTCTGTATTTCTTAGGCTAAAACTAAAATCTAACTTTTTTTTAAAATCTTTTTTAATCTCTAACAGCTAAAGCTAATAGTGGTCTCTTGGCATACAATGTCACTAAGTGTCACACTTTTGTGACAGCGACATACTTTGGACATCAGTGTCATGAGAAGGTTAAATAAAAAAAATTAACCCCTTGACCACCTCCCGGCCGGTTGTTGTGCTGAAAAAAAACCCGGCCGGCTGAGAGCTCTCTGGATCTGAGCGGGCGTTTTTTAATCGGTACACGATCTCCCTCCGGTCCCCTCTCCGCTGTCAGAATGCGGAAATAATGTATATTGCATAACTTCCGCATTCTTGTGTCACCGTCCAGCTTCAAAAGCTGGAGAGAAGCTGAAGAAGCAGATCTCTGCTTCATCAGCTTCTTTGGGGGTCCCTAGGTGACAGGGGTCTTGGGAGACCCCCTTATATCTCCATAAAGAGGACCTGTCGCATCTCTTTGCTATCACATAGGGGGTTTCTTAGCCCCCTATGTGATAACGATAAAGTTATGTGGAAAAAAATAGGAAAAAAAATGAAAGTTGCCAAATTTTTTTTTAAAGTCACACATGAAAAAGAATAAAAAAAGCAACATTTTTAAAAACAGTCCCCACCCATACACACATGCAAACATGCGTTTGATGTGCATATGTGCGAAAACGACGATTGCGCCCATTACGCTGCACATATTACATATTGCCGTGAACGTCGCAGTGAGAGCAATAATTCTAGGGCCATTTTTTACTGATAACACTAAACTGATGAGCGGCAAAAGCTTTTAAAGCGTCGCCTATAGTCAATTTAGGGTATGGTAGTTTTTTGCGGGTGTGCGCAATTTTAAAGCTTGACATGTTTGTCTTTTTCCCCAACGTGACCCCGTCTTTTATATTTTACCAAAAAAAATTGGGTAATAATAAATGTTGTATAACATAATGTAAAAAAAAAAACTTTTTTTTTTTCTCTCAAATTTTCAGTAATTGTCCCTTTTTAATATAGTAAAAAATAAATACCAAAAGAAAGCTCTATCTGTCCCCAAAAAATGGTATAAAATGTAATTTCAGTACAGCGTTGCATGACGGAATAAATGTACCGCAGCGCTGAATACTGAAAAATAACCATGGCCAGGAAGGGGGTGTAAACACCTGGTCAGCAAGTGGTTAAGTTGAAAAACAAATCTGCACCTGATATATTTTTATTTGTTGTTCATTTTATTTAATTCTTTTTTTTAACACTTTTCACAATTTAAAACATTTATTTTTATTTTATGTATTTAATTATATCAAGCAGTTATTGTGCATTATTCTCACTATTACTGCTTGATGATTTAATGAATACATTTTTGGTTATTATTAGGCTGCTTCAAACTTAAGAACAGCCAATAATAACCTTAGTGACACTGATCCTGCAGCATTTCGGGATCAGATGTCACTAAAGATTTTCTGATCGTTCTAGCAACGATCAGAAACCTGCAACATTCTTTCAGCAAGAGAAGCTTGTATCTAAATGTTTCTATTGCTGATAGTTTAGAAAAAAAAAGCCGGTATACATCGGGATTTGCCAATCTATACCAGCTTTCAGTGACAGCTAGAGCTGCAAATTTGGCTCTGCTCTCATTGTCAGACACCTGAATCCTGAAAGGGATCGGGTGTCTGAAAAAGCTTAACTCATTCATTCATGGATGCCTCAATACTGAGACATCCATTAAAGAATGGCAACCGCTGATTTTCAGTGGTTCCCGGCATTACTGAGCCCCAAATAGCTGATCACGTACAGTGTAAGTGAGCAGTCATTTGGGCACTTTATGGCGGGATGTTCAGTGTACGTCTCCCATCATGAAGGGGTTAAATACAGATCATAAACTACCTTGGGGCTTGTGTAGTTGAGCAAATGCAGCAGACATTCAGGTGCATGAAGCTTGCTTTTGAGATTGGCCTGAAATGGTGATCTCCATCTAAGTTCCTTCACATGAGCATTTGACCTTTCATTGATCTCCCTCGTCATTTCCATTAACTATGGAAATTCCAGTAGTTCTGACAGGAACAAAAGCCTGTGTACTCGGTCCTTTTTAAGGGATCCTTTAAAAATTATAAATAAGTCACCTCACAAAAGATGATGAATAATATCTGTCTGGCAGCGGAATTATCCTATCTTCTTGCAGAGAATCTTCAGCAATCAACACACTGCTGGATGTTGGATACATGGTTCCACCTGCTGGCTGCCATTTTTGAAGGGCGTTCTTTGTTTTTATTTTTTTTCCCCAACAGACTAGTTTCAATAGGGTCTTGTTGTACATAACAGACAATAGAATCCAACACTATTGCACATGTCATCAAACTGGTTTGCTATATGAAATATGAGTTGAGAATAGAGCTACAGAATTGATAATGTTAATGTTAGTAGTGAGCAGAATAAAAAAAAGGAACAAAACCCCACCCCCAAAAACGGGAGGAAAAAAAAAACATGGAGTCCCCTCTAAAATTCCCAACCATACCCTTAATCCGAGCACAGGCCTGGCAGTGCAGGAAAGGGGGAGAAGGGGAGAATGAGTGAATGCCCCCCACACCATACCAAGCCACATGCCCTCGGCATTGAGAGGGTGTCTTTTCAGGGGTCCTCCTGGAAAAGCACCTTGTCTCCATGCCGATGAGGACAAGGGCCTCTTCCGCCACAACCCTGACCCATTGGTTTTTGGGGGTCTGCGGGCAGGAGGGCTGATTTGTATCGCAGTTTAATAAAGGCACCAGATGCTGCCCCCCGCTTGTGAATGAGTAAGGGGTAAAAATCATTTGATTGGAAGAAAAAACTAAAGTTCTTGACAATTCCTTTTAATAAAAAAATAAAAATCCAAAAAATGAATCCACCAAGGTAATTCAAAGGTCAATCACCACGTCCAGCGTTGTCTACGAGGCAGCCGCCACGTCGAGTAAAAAAAACAATAGCCCGACGACCCGTCCACACCCAAGTAACTGCCGCCGCAGAATGAAAGTTTTGCCAGATGCCGGCCAAATGTAAACAGGCGGAGCTAGCAGTGACATCACCATATTGCAAGTCCTGCAAAATCAAAACAAATGGGCGGAGTTGGCTATGACGTCATGACTGGCTCCACTAATTTGTTGTCATACAATGCCAGGCTACTGTCCACGTCATTTGAGGACAGTAGCCTGTCATTGTAGGACAACAAATGGACTGGTCCAGTTGTGATGTCACAGCTGGCTCCGCCCATTTGTTGTCATACAATGACAGTAGCATTTTTGCCTAGCATCTCTCAAACTGTCATTCTGCTGCACGGCTGGCTCCACCCATTTGTTGCCATACAATGACAGGCTACTATCCTCAGGTCATTTAAGGACAGTACATTTTGATGGCATCTGTCAAATTGCTATTGCAAGTGGTGGCAAAATGAAAACAAAGGGGCGGAGTTGACTGTGATGCCACAACTGGATCCACCCATTTGTTGTCATTGACCCGAGGTTGTCATCCTCGGGTCATTTTGAGGTCAGTAGCCTGTCACAGTATGACAACAAATGGGTGGAGCCAGCCGTGGCAGATAGGCGGAGCCAGCAGTGATGTCACGACTAGCACTGCCTATCTGTTTACATTTGGCCACCATCTGTCAAACTTTCATTCTGCAGTTCGACGAGTCGGTGGGCATCTAATTTTTTTAAATTTTGATGAGTTGGTGTCCTCGAGGACAATGCTGGATGTCATGATTGACCCTTGGATTACGCCAGTGGATTCATTTTTTTATTTTTGGGATTGTTATTTTTTTTATTAAAGGACTAGTCAAACACTTTTTTGTTTTTTTCAATTAAAGGATTTTTTCTTAAAGTGTGGGCTCTTTATTTACTTTTTACTTTAACCCCTTACTGAAGGAGTAGGGGTACAAGTTCACAATGGGGGTCAGCGTCTGGGTGCCCTTTATTATTAAAGGGGGTACCCCGATACAAATGACCCCCCCTGCCCGCAGACACCCACAACCACTGGGCCAGGGTTGTGGCGGAAGAGGCCCTTGTCCTCATCAG